ATAAAGATCCATAATAGTTCAGGGTGTGCAAAGACCAGTTGATTCTTTATAGGAGAGTGTCTCAACATCTAGATTCAGGCTTTTGTAAGCCAGATCCTTGGGCAGCAGCTGTTGAAGAATGCAAATATATGCATTCTGTGGGACCAAAAGTGTAAGCCCCATCAGCCACCAGAGCCAGGCTATTTAGAAGTATCCTCCGAGTGGCTGTCTTAAAAATTGGTGTTTTAGTCAAGTGCAAGCTCCTTTCCGAGAAATACTGGTGAGCTGTAGTGGGGTAGAGAGAGCACCGAGATGCATTTCCTAAGAGCATTCCTGAAGCCCCTAACATGTGTGCCAGACTTGTCCCAGGCAAGTAGGCCTGTTTCACAGTAAGAATAGGGATATGTTTCAGTCTTCTGTCTCTGCAGTGCTTGGTGGTAGCCTACCAAGACCTGTCTCACTGATGTCATATTCCCTTGGTACCCAGGAACACAAGCCCCTTGGCTACCAGAGCCAGGCAATTAAGGATTATTCCCTGGACTGTAGCCACAAATCCAGGTTGCCCGACACATGTAAGAGCTTACCCTCCAAGAGATGCTGGTGCTCTGGAATGTGGCAGAGTGAGTGTGAAGGTAATTCCTGGCCTGTAACATCTCAGGAAAGGTTTTCAGTCACTCTTAGATGTGTGCTAAATGAGATGCCTGCTTCTCAGCCTACAGCTGTGATGATAAGGTAATAGGCCTCTTTCACAGAAATGCTGAGCCTATGGCTCTTTTGTGCCCTAGGGGTAGTAGCTGTTTGAGACTCTTCATGTGTTCCAGTCCTGTGGGACCCACAGCATAAGTCAGCTGGCCCCTAGAGCCAAGTGACAAAGTTGTATCCCCTGGTAACAGCTGCAAAAATCAGGCCACCACCGGAGAATATAAGCTCTGTTCTAGAAGATAATGGTGAGCTTGTGTGAATGCAGTCATTGTCCTCTATTCCCTAGAGCACCCCAGTGGCCTTATATATGTGTGTACCCATCAGGCCAGATCTTCTGAACAAGCAAATGGGCCTCTTTCTCAGAAACACTGGGGATGTACCTTACTTATCTAGCTGTTGCAATGCCCTGGGAGTGGTAGTCTAGCAAGATGGCTACACCACCTCTCTGGCCTCTAGAGCCAGGCGATCAGGGGTAATAGCCCTGAGTGGTAGCCACAAAACATAGGGCACCAGACCTGTGTAGAAGATCCTATCTGGGCGATAGCACTTTGGAGTACTTCTGGCTGGATCCACTGTGAAGACAATATTCACCTAAAAAGAAAAGGAAGAAGAATAAAGGTAGCACCTAGCAGCTTTAGCAAGACAGAGGGCACAAGGAAAGATGGTGCCCACCAGCCTCCCTTCTCCAAGAGCAGTAGTCAGCAAACTCATTAGTCAACAAAGCCAAATGTCAACAGTACAATGATTGAAATTTCTTTTGAGAGCCAAATTTTTTAAACTTAAACTAAATAGGTAGGCACATTGTTATTATTTAGGGTACTCCTGACCTTTGCTAAAAATTCAAGGGGCCAGAGAGACGGAGCCACCTGTGGCTCGAGAGCCGCAGTTTGCCGACCACTGTTCAAGAATATCCATCAGGACTTTTCTCACATAAAGTCTGGGTACTTTTCCAAGGATTGCTTCTGCACTGAGCACCATTGCACTGGGCAGTTGAGCCTGTGCATAAGCCCTTTTAAGAGCTATTTCTCAGTTCACCATAGTCCCTTGGTGACAAGCCCCATTGGTCGTTAATTATAGATGCTTTGCTTGTCTCTCAGATGGTGGTATTAAAAGTTAGGTTGCCAGATGTTGGGTATGAATCCTTTGCTGCTCAATGAGAAGCTCCTGGTTTCCAGTTTTCTGCCAATTGTGGGTCACTGTTCCATGGAAGAGTTTGTAAGATTATGTCTCAGCCTTTCCTACCTGCTCCAATGTGGGTTTCCTTTTGATTGACAGATAAAGGAGTTGCTCCACCAGTTTTTAGGTGTTTGTTTTTGTCAAAGGAAATTGTTCAACATGTAACTATATATTTGGTGTGTCATTTAAGAGAAAAACTGAATACAGTGAGTATATAAGGAAAGTACCATAGCATAATAAAGACTGTATATAACAAACCTACAGTTAACATTATACTTCGTGATGAAAAATTGAAAGCTTTTTCTGTAAGATCACCAATAATACAAGGATGCCCTCTTTTATTCAACATAGTACCATCAGTCCTAGACAGAACAATTAGGTAAGGAAAATAAAGAAAAGGCATCCAGATTGGAAAGAGAAGTAAAACCATCAATATTTGTATATGGCATGATTTTATATATAGAAAAACTTAAAGACTTCACCTCAAAAAGACTATTAGGGATAGTAAGTGAATACAGTAATGTTGCAAGGTATAAAATCAATATACAAAAATCTGTTGCACTTCCATATACTAACAATGAAGCATCTGAAAGAGAAAAATACCTACCAATAAACTTAACACAGGAGAGGTAAAACCTGCACACTGAACACTACAAACCACTGTTGAAACTGAAGAATTCCCCAAATGGGAAGATAGTCTAGACTAACATTGTTAAAATTCCCATATTTCCTAAAGCAATCTACAGATTCCATGCAATCCCAATGGCATTTTTCACAGAAATCGAACAAAATATCCTAAAAATTTTATGGAACCACAAAAGACCCCAAAATAGCCAAAGCAATCCTCAGGAAGAAAAAAAAAAAGAGGCATCACACACTCTCATTTCAAACTATACCATAATGCTCTATACAAGTAATTTAAACAGTATGGTATTGGCAGAAAGACAGACCTATATACTAATGAAAAAGTGTTGAAAGCAGAGAAATAGATCCACAAATATAAGGACAAATTTGGAACAAAGAGGACAAGGATATACAATGGAGAAAGTCTTTTCCATAAGTAGTACTGAGAAAACTGGACAACCGTGTCAAAAAAAAAAAAATGAAATTAGAACACTATCTTTCACCATACACAAAATTTATCTTTAAATGGATTAAAAACTTGTATGTAAGCTCTTGAGAGAATAAAATACATAGAAGAAAAGTAGGCACTAAACTTAGTAGGCACTAAGTTTTTGTGTGAATTTGGCTCCAAAGGCTGGGAAATAAAAACAAATAGCACTACATCAAACTGAAAAGCTTTTGTGTTAAGGAAACTGCCAACAAAGCAACCAGTCAAATGGGAGAAGGGGTTAATATCCAAATAAATATCTCATACCACCACCACAACAAAACAGATTAAAGACTGAGCAGAGGGTCTGAATAGACACTTTTCCAGGGAAGACATTCAGATGGCCAGTAGGCACATGAAGAGATATTCAACTTGGCCAATTAGGAAAGTGTAATTCAAAACCACAATGAGATGTCACCTAACACCTGTTAAAAAGACAAATATTGGAGAGGATGTGGAGGAAAGGGAACCCTGGTACACTGCTGGTGGTAATGTAAGTTGGGGCAGCCACTATGGCAAACAGTATGAAGATTTTTTAAAAAATAAGTAAAGCTATCAAGTAATCCAGCAATTCCTCTTTTGGGTATTCATCTGAAATGAAAACACTAATTTGAAAAGATACATGCACCCCTATGTTCATTGCAATAATATTTACAATAGCCAAGATATGAAAAGAAGTACTATGCATTGACAGATGAGGTAAATATACACAGTGGAATATTACTCAGCCATAAAAAAGATGAATATTGCCATTGGTGATGACATGGACAGGTCTCAAGAGTATGATACTAAGTAAAATCAGTCAGATACTAAGTAAAATCAGTCAGAGAAAAAGACAAAGTAATGTAGGACAAAAAAACAAAATGTAGAAACAAAACAAAAACTCAAGAGATTCAGACAACAGATTGATATTACCAGAGGGGAAGGGGGGCAGAGGTAAGGCAAAATGGGGTCAAATGTGTGGTGAAATTGGAAACTAGACTTTTTGTGGGGATCACATGACAGATGTTGAAGTATAATGTTGAATTATAATTTGAACACCTGAAATTTTTATTACTGTTACCTCAATTTTTTAAAAACTGAGTCTTCTGTGCACAGTATTTTAAAAATATTTTTGGTTACTGCTTCTATTACAATAGAGATATATAAATCATGTCAATAATAATGAGCATTCTGAAAATTATTGCCCTTTATAGTACAAGTGAATGTCAATAGTATAAGTTAAATATACATTATTTTGTAAAATTCTACTTTAGTTATATAGAAGAATTTGTCATTTAAAGGCATTTGCTGTTGATTCCATTTAGGTAAATGCACACATAATGATCACATCTGAAAAAATGAATCCAGATTTTTCTTGACTATGGTTTGCTTGTTTTGGGGTACTTTTTGTTATTGTTTTTGCACCGTTTTGCACCTTTCTTAAAATAATAGTTATGTCTGAATATAGAATGTATCCCGATTTATTATTATTTTTAAATATTTATTGATTTGAGCAAGAGAAACATCGATTTGTTTTTCTATTTACACATTTATTGGGTGATTCTTGTATGTGCCCTGACCTTGGGATCCAGCCCACAGTATTGGTGTATTTGGATAAAGCTCTAACCAAATGTACTACCGAGCCAGGCCCTCTCTATTTATTTTTTATCAGGAATTAACATACAAGAAGTATTTCATAGTGGTTGAAGTCAGATCCCCCTCAATGCCTCCAGCTGGCTGGGTGTGACTAGTTACAACACCTTTCTTAAATCTGCCTCTCTTAGCAAATGAAGATAGTAATTGTAACTACCTTATAACATTGTCAGAATTAACTGAGATAAAATGTATAAAATTCTTAGCATATTATTTAATAGAAAAAGCTCTTAGTAAGTATTATAATTAAAATTCTCTGGTAACTTCTATGTTCAATAACTTCATTTTTAAAAATTAAGGTTATTAAATCATGGGATTAATTTAAAACAGGATATTTTTTTTATATTTACATCATATAATAGATGATTTTTTTCTTTAATCAATATTTTTGTTTTAGGTCGCTTTTCACATTGAACCTTATATCAATCGAGATGTTCAAAACATGTACAGAAATGTCAAATACATTATAGACAAGTGAGTTTCTCCTTTGTTTATAAATTAATTTTGTAGTGAATATTGAAGTCATTTTGAGGAACATTTGAGGTCCTTTACAGTTCATTTTCTATATGAATAATTAAAGATTTCTCTTTAGTATTTTATATATATTTTAGGCTATTTGTGATTTCTTCATACTGACATTTTAAAATTATTCTTTAAATTTTATGGATATAGAGTTTTGTCTTTTTACAAGAAGGTTCAGATTATGAACTGCTTTTATTTGAGTAGACTAACATCTAATATTTTCATTTATACTTTGTTTATAAGAATTCATTAATTCAGTCTCACTTTGTTCATGAGTACTATTGAAAATAGTCTGAGTATAGTCTGACAGATGCCATACTCAAAGGAGCTTGTCAGCATCAGTTGGCAATTAGTATTGATACAAAAAAAAGCAGTCTGTATAATATATTCATGTAGAAAATGTACTTTTTATGGTGTTCCTCGTCATTTGTAGACCTCAATATAAGAATTAATTTATTGTTTAGTAATGTCTTGACAGCTAGTATTTCCTTTTCTAATGAATAAAATTAAAATGCATTTTTAGTAATTACACTTATATAACTGACTTCCCAAAGATGGTGAAAAATGTGTGTAAACTCTGATTACCTTGATTTTCATACATAAGTATTATCTTTGGCAAATGAAATGCGAATGTGCATTTCACTTTTACCTATGTTTGTATTCTAGATACGGAAATCATCCGGCCTTTTACAGGTACAAGACTAAGACCGGCAATTCTCTTCCTATGTTTTATGTCTATGACTCCTATATTACAGGCCCTGAACAATGGGCCAGCCTGTTAACCACCTCAGGGTCTCGGAGCATTCGCAATTCTCCTTATGATGCACTGTTTATTGCTCTTCTCGTAGAAGACAAGCATAAATATGATATCCTCCAGAGTGGCTTTAATGGAATTTACACGTATTTTGCCACAAATGGCTTTACTTATGGCTCATCATATGAGAATTGGGCTAAAATCAAATTGTTTTGTGATCATTTCCAACTGCTATTTATCCCAAGTGTGGGCCCCGGATACATAGACACCAGCATCCGTCCATGGAACACTCAGAACACTCGGAACCGGGTCAATGGGAAGTATTACGAGACTGCTCTGAATTTGGCCCTCCAAGCGCACCCTAGTGTAATTTCTATCACATCTTTCAATGAGTGGCATGAAGGAACTCAGATTGAAAGAGCTGTGCCCAAACGAACCAGTAAAAGAGTGTACCTGGATTACCGGCCTCACAAACCAAGTCTTTACCTGGAACTGACTCGCAAGTGGTCTGAAAAATACAGTAAGGAAAGAGCAACGTATGCATTAGAGCACCAGCAGCCTGTTTCTTAATCTTAATGCACTGTTTTATATTGAATAAGTATAGAAAACACCTACTTTCAGTAAATGTCTCTTTGAGTTACGGGACGAAAACTGTCAAAATCAGTATGCACTGTTACACTTCTTTTATAAAAATAATTTGTATTTTTTAAAGGTAGCAATGTTACCCTCACCACCGTTCACAATGCTGTACTGAGACAACGCCTGAGAGAAAATTGTGCAAAAACATTCCCTGTGCCATCTTCTGCTAAATTTCTGACTAAAATTGACATGCTGCTTTCATGGCTGTTTAATTTTTATTTACAATAGGTAAATGCTTATTACATAAAATAATTTGCACACAGTTCTTTCTATCCTACTGTATTCTGGGCCCAAAGAAATAGGATTGTGTATTTGTTACTGTACGTGTTACATCTCTAAGTTGTTTCAATGCTTCAATAAACTTTATGGTATTAGTGTATAGATTCTGGAAAACTCTTTAATAATAATCTTACAAAAATAAAATCATATATCTTAAACTTTACTATGAACCATATTGCATTAGGAAGGCCTGCTTTTTGCAGCACAATATGTATTATCATTAGCAGATTTTTGGTTACCGAGAGCATGCTAGATGTTTTACATGTGTAATGTTTCTGCTTTATAATGCTGAATTCCAGATTTTAGAAGTTATAGAAAGTTTTTTTTTTATAAAAGTTAATGATTGCTTCGAATTCGTGCACCAGTGGGATCCCTCAGCCTGGCCTTCAGGATTGAACTGAAACTGGCTCTCTGACATTCCCCAAGGGGGTCCCAGATTGCTTGAGGGTGCAGGCCAGTCTGAGGGACCCCGCAGTGCACCATCAGGGCTGGGGAGGGACACGGGAGGTTGGCCAGCTGGGAAGAGACCTTGGGAGGGCTGCAGAGTGTGTCTGGCCCATCTTGCTCAGTCCCAATCAGCCGGGCCCCAGCAGCAAGCTAACCTACTGGTTGGAGTGTCTTCCCCCTGATGGTCAGTGCATGTCATAGTGACTGGTCAACAAGTCGACTGTCTGTCCCCTGATGATCAGTGCAGGTCATAGCAGTTGAACAGCCTTAGCATATCATCAGAATATTAAACTTTAAACGACTGACTGGACAACCAGACACTTAGCATATTAGGCTTTTATTAAGATAAATATAATGTCCAAAATGTTATCGTTTTTAGAAATAACATTTTAGTCTTTAACTTCTTATTCTATTATTCATATTTTTTCAATTTAATCAGAAATGTACTGTTAGATAAGAAAAAAAGTTGATACTACTTTTAGATTGCCTCTTTTATGAAATTAAGCTACTTTTACCAAAAGTAATTGAGAACATTTACTTAGCTTATTTTAGTTTTTTAGGGACCTAGAAATGAAAATTTCTTTATATGTTAAATTCATTCCTGAAGTTTGACATTTATGTTAAATTCATTCCTGAAGTTTGACATTTAAGATTTAATGATGGAAAAAATAGTTTCAAAGACAATAGTTTAGTTATTTTTAATAATATTCCAATTATATGTACTATCATGGTTCCTATCAGGTAAAATACTTGTGGTCAATTGTTTGTCATATTATGACAAATTAAACATCTGTATGCTAAAAATTATTTCCTTATTTTAAAAATTAGAAAATAAAATATATTCTATTATTATAGTTAATATTTATAACTAGAACTGTAGTAAAAAGTCTAATATATATGTTACTACACGAATATTTATTGACTGAAGAGAAGCAATAGGATAATATTAAACAATGCATATAAATCTTTAAAGTATAAAGAGTGTCAAATTAGCAGTGGAATTTATCATAAAATGGTACATCATAGGATGAAATTTTATTTTTAACCAGCAGTTTTGAAGTAAAAACATTTTTATAACTTAAAATTTGCCATTTCTCAAAAAATGACCAGGCCACATGAAATTATTGTAATAGTAAAAATCCACTTTCTATAGGAAGTCACAAGAAAAAAGTCACTATATCATTGATATAACCAAGCATCTTCATAGGAATTCTCATGGATACAGCCTGTGGATATTTTTTCTTATATCCAGTTAACCACTATATATTATAAATATAAACTCTATGTCATAACTAATAATATTTTATAACATTCCATGTTTTATTAAAGATTGGTTAGAGAAATAGCTACTACAGAGGAATTTTTGTCATTGCTTATATTGTATATTTGAATTCACTATGGTAGGATATAAATTTTTAAAAAATAATTCCAAGATTAAGGGAGAGTATATAAACATGGTCAACATATCCAACACGATGTCACCACTTCCTATTCTGCTTGTAGGGCAGAAATAGGTAACTTGCTAGAGCACAGTTTAACTCTGACCTTTGGTGTGGTTCCCAACACATTACCCTACTGGCCAGTAACAAGCAGTCAGATTTCAAAGTAAGGTAAAACAGATTCTGACTCATTATAGAAAGTTATTAATCAGAGAAGAATGTTTGGAGTCTGATCACAAAGTGGTTTTTTACTTTAATACTTTAATACTAATTATACTAGAGGCCCAGTGCAGGACATTCATGCACTCGGGTTAGGGGGAGAGTCCTCAGCCTGGCCTGGGCCCTTGAGCAGTCCAGGAGCCCTCATGGGATGTCCGACTGACAGCTTAGTGCTGCTGCGGAGGGGGCAGAGGCTCCCACCACAGCCGCTGTGCTCCCACCACAGTCAGTGTGCTCCCACAAGCCGGGCTGACAGCTGAGCACAGCTGTCAGCCCGGCTTGTGGGAGCACACTGACCACCAGGGGCAGCTCCTGTGTTAAGCGTCTGCCCCTGGTTGTCAGTGTGCATCATAGTGACAGGTCATTCAGCCGTTTGGTCAATTTGCATATTACCCTTTTATTATATAGGATGAATATATTGTTTTTCTTTTTTAAACAAAAGTTAGGAGGAATTATCTCTGGTAGTTTTGTTATTAGGGAGGAATGCTTTCAAACTCTCAGGTATTCATTGCAGCTGCCTTTGCCATTTGACTAGTAACAGTTTAGATTACAAGTAAAGAACGACTTCCTAATTTTAAAACTATAGGTTTTAATCCAATAAACTAAAATAACTGTTGAAAGAAAAAGCAGTGTAATATATGCAATGCATGAATCCTACTGAATTATTTTATGGTTTAATCCAATTGTTTTGACTGTAGAAACCAAATATTTCTTTTATTCCTCCCCTTAAGGACCTGTACTGTCAAAACTGCTATTATTGTTTATATAGTTGCATGTTAACTTTTTTTGTTTTCAGAGTATGTAATTAAAAGATGACTATTTTGTTATATGGAGTAATTTTCATCTAATAAAAGCATAAATGAAATATGTATTTCTTACATATAAAAATGGATTCCTTTGTTGTTTTTTCAATGTCTGATCAACAAATGAAAAGGTAGTATTCATCACACTATAATTCTCTATTTGAGATATGTAGCATTTACAAAGTAGATACCTTTAATTGTACATACTTTTGGAATCTGTGCATCTGAGTTACACAGACCAAAAAAAACTTTCTTTTTCAATGCTTTGTTACTTTATCCTTTGGGCATAATGACATATTAGCTCTGACATCCTTTAGAAAATTGATTTGCCACTCAAAACAGCAAAAATAACAAGCTACCTGAAAAACATACTTAAGTTCATAACTTTGTGCTTTTTAAAACTAATCAGTTAATTTAAATCCTGCTACTGCTCTTAAACTCTATAGTGCATACAGAAATGGTGCTTGAAAATCTATACCTAGATTTTGAATTAAGGTCAACACCCTCATGTCTCAGAGTACAGAGCTACTTTTCAAACTAATCAGTTAATCAATTTAAATCCTGCTAGTGTTCTTAAACTCTCAAGTTTGTGCAGAAACAGTGCTTGAAAATCTATACCTAAATTTTGAGTTAAGGTCAACACCCTGTCTCAGTACAGAGCTACTTTATTTACAACCAGCAAAATTTCAGTTATTTCTCTAAATATCTACAATTTCAAAATTAAAAAAAAAATATCTAGCCACAAGCAAAATAGTTTTTTGGCTCAGATTGTCCTCTTTTTAAAAATGTACTTCAAATTAAATTTTATACTGACTTTGTTATATATCCAATAAAGGCTAAATGTTATTGTATGCCTGATACATAGTTATTGATTTTGAAAATTCAGTTACTATTTTGACTTAAAGAGACTCATTTATTCTTAGTCAAAAAAAAAAAAAAAAAAAACACACCTTAGTAATTGTGCTATTCTATTCCAGCTATCAATGAAGGGAACATTTTTTAATGTGATTAGCTTTTGTTGTTAAATGGTTAGTATTTAATTGATGACATCAAAGACAAAATAGCCTGGCTAGCCTGGTTCAGTGGTTGAGCATCGACCTGTGAACCAAGAGATTACGGTTCGATTCTTGGTCAGGGCATATTCTCAGGTTGCAGGCTCCATCCACAATAGGGGGTGTGCAGGAGGCAGCTGATCAATGATTCCCTCTCATCATTGATATTTCTATATCTCCCTCTTCTTTCCTCTCTGAAATCAATAAAAATTTATTTTTAAAAAAATAATTTCAAACCTAATCAGATAGTCTTAGATCTAAAATTTACTAAACTTAAAACAGTGGCACTTTTCTTATTGAATATTTTAGATTTCATTTTTTAAAAGCATCGTACATATTGAATTTTAAGTTTTCTATTTATATGCAAATTAACAATACATTTAAACAAAGATAAGAGGCTTTTTAGAAGCTACCCCATTGAAATAACTATTTCATGACACAAAGCAGTGATGTATCATGGTAAGATAATTCTATCTATAATTCAACTTACGGTATATGAGTGTATCCTTTTATGCTTTTGTGTTTGACTTTCTGAAAGAATAGGATAGAAATATGAGCAAAGATCATTGTAAACAACACAATAAAGTGACAAACTTCAGCTACTCAATAACATTTAAGATATATCTATGCATAAAAGTATTTTTGAGACAACTTTACAAAAACCATTATCAAATCACCGTGTTAACTTGACA